GATATAGAATAGAACAGGTAATATTACGAGATAAAAAAGAGAGTTATACAAAGGTTTATGAAGGATATATATTTTAATAAATATTACTAAATTTAGTATTTTTTAATAAATTTTTTAAAAATTGTTATAAATAAACACCGAAAAATTATTTATTTGAAAAAAAATTATTATTAAAATAATATTTTTTTTAAAAATGAAGATAAGAAATAATATTCAATCTATTTCAAATCCGAATTTTTCTATAAAATATAAAAGATTTTCTCGTAAAAATTGTAAAAAGTTTAATGATTTATATGTTTATGTTCGTCGAAGTTCTCGTATACAAAGTTTAAACTTAAATAATAAATATAAAGAATGTGATGAATGTAATATTTATCTAGATGAAGATTCGAGTCAATTTCAATGTAAAAAGTGTTCTAAAATTGTAAAATATTGTGATTTTGATTCAATTTTTACTAGAGACGTAAAAATTTGTATAAAATGTAGTAAAAATAATTTTGATTATGATGATGAAGATAGTGATAATATTATTTGTGATAGTATTTGTGATGATAATGATGCTATTTGTTCTGAATGTTATAATAATTTTTTGGATTGTAAATGTGTTAAAGAAAAATGGATTGATGAGGATGATACAAAAAGTTATAAATCGAAGAATTTTGATAGTATTAATTTGACATTAGATGATAAAGGAAGGAAAATTTCATTTTCTACATGTTTTTAATTTATAAATGTTTTCTTTGTTGAAAATTTTGATTTAATATATTTAACTTTAATTATCTATTTCATTTTTAAACTGCTCTCTTTAAACTTATCATTTTTAATGTATTAATTTATTTATTTATTTGGGATAATAGTTTGGTTTTTCGGATGATTTTTGTCGGTAATTATGTATTTTTCTTGTAATTTTTGATAATCTTTCTTTGAATTCTTCTATAACTCTCGCTATGATTCATGACCATTTTTAAATTTCATATTCGGATATATTACCTTTCTGGCTATATTTTTGTAAAATTTCATGTTCAGTTATTATGTACGATTTTGCTCCACCTTGATTTGTTTTTCTTGTATTATTTTCAAAAATCATTAATAAAATCGAATCTTGTAATTTTTGACAATCTTTCTTTGAATTCTTCTATAACTCTCGCCAATGATTCATGACCATTTTTAAATTCTATATTCGAATGTATTACCTTCCGGGCTATATTTTTGTGAAATTTCATGTTCAGTTATTATGTATGATTTTGCTCCACCTTGATTTGTTTTTCTTGTATTATTTCGAAAATCATTATTAAAATTTCATCCTCAGTGATTTTTCCATTTCATGATCTACATTGTAATTACCTTTTTAATTGACAATTATATTCCTTTTTTGTACTTAATACCTTGATGTGTAATTTTATAAAATTTCGCATGATGATAGATTAGATAGATAAATAAATTAATATTATTCTTTTGAGATTTGTATTGTTCTTTAAATAAAAATATAGATTATTTTTTATTTAGATTATAATTTGTTTTATATAAAAAACTTATTTATAAATTGATTTATAAATATAAAATACAAAAAAAAGCCAATAAAATTCTTCTTGCTCAAAATTTTAAAAAAAAGTAAAATTTTTTATTTATTAAATTTTATTTTTATTATTTTTTTTTAATAATTAATTATTTTTTTTATAGGACAATGTCAAAATCTGGTGTTTTTTCATTTAAAAAATCAACCATTGAAGGTCGTCATGTTTTTAAGAATCAAAAAGATGGAGTTATAATTGTTATGGAAAAATTTTTAACGAGTAATATTCGGGTTGTTTTTATTAAAGATGAAAATATTATTCAACCTCCATCTGAATATTATTATATATACAATTTTGGAGATAAAAAAGAAGTTCATAGGAAATTTATATTTTTTAATGAAATTCCTTGTTTTTTGATTGGTGCAGCAGATTTACATAATTATACAATTTATTATAACGATAAAAGATTACTTGCATTTCATAGTATGATGCAATTTTCAGTTTCTAAACCTAAATATCTTATTGGAAAAAAAAGAGATAAACATCCTGAAATTTTTAAAAAAATTAAAAATTTATTACCTATAGATGATGAGAAAGAAATATTGAATGATGAAAATTATGAAGATAAAGAAATTGATGATGAAGAATTGATTAAAGGAGAAGAATAATTTTTTTGGATTTAGAAAAAACTGATCATGTAAAAGTTTTAAAGTTATTTGATAAAAATGTATTTGTTAAATTTATTTATATTTAATTTATTCGTCATAGTGTGAAAGCGATATCAAGAAAACCAGACATCCCCTCTCACACTGTGAAAAACTAATTTTTCTCTAAATTTAAAAAATTATAATTTTATAATTTATGTATGTCGGAATGGCTTTAAACGACATCGGCGAATTACTCAGACCTGTGTCTAGGCGCATAACTTAGTCCCATAAATTTATAAAATTAATAATTTAATATTTATTATACTAAAATTCTAAGTTTTATCTATCATTTATATATTTCTAAGAGATTTTATAAAATTAAGAAATTAAAAATTTAATAAATAAATATTAAAGGGTCTGAATAATTTGAGTACAAAGTTGGCTGTGGATTCTTGAACCCTTCTATATCGAAAATAAAAAATAGTAATTCTTTATAAAGAATTGGGAGATATCAAATGAGTATCCCCGATAAAAGTCCAATAGAATATATTTTAAAAATAAATAATATAAAAGGAAAAATATTAAAACAAGGAGAATTATCAGTTTGATTTTTTATATTATTTATTTTTTGTTCTAATAATTCTTGTTTTTCTATATCGTTTATTTTTCGTTCTAATTGAGAATTGATATTAAATAATTCACAATTAATTTTAAATAATTCATGATTTAGTTTTTGTTCTTTTTTTAATATTTTTAAAGACATTTTAAATTTTTTAATAGAAAATATCAGTTTATCTTACTTGTTTGATTATTATTTATATTTTTGAAAAAAAATTGATTTTCTAAATAAATATTTTTTGGATCGATTTTTAGAAGAAGTTCTTCATATTTAGAAGGTTTGGTTTCATTGAAGTTTTTGTTGTTTGTACGATAATTTGACATTGTTTGTTTTATTATTGTTAAAAATGTATCTTTTATGTGAGATGATTTTAAGAGTATTTAATTTGGTTATTTGGTAAATATTTTTGTTCTAATTCTCAATTTGTATTCTTTCTGTCAATATTTATATTGTTTAATGATTCATAAGGGGCTTTGTATTTTCAAATGCCAAGATTTCGGCTGTGTTTTGTGAGATGAAAGTTAGATGATATTTCATGTTATTCATGTGAAAGGTTGTATTTCTTTTATTTTCTATATTTGGGACATTTTTTTCAATCAGTTTTTGGCTGAGTTCCGTGTTTATCAATGAGATGAATGTTTCATTCATTAATTTTTCTTAATTTGTATGACAAAAAGCTTTAAATTTATCAAAATGTTTCACTTATAAATTTTTAATTTGTTAAATGATTCACAAGGGCTTTGTATTTTTTAAACGCCAAGATTTTGACTATGCTTCGTGTTTATCAATTTCAATGAGATGAATGAGATCTTCATAATGCTTATTAATTTATCAAATGTTATTATTATTATTTGCTTACTTTTTTTTAATTTTCATATGATGTAATTTATTTGAATGAATAATACAATAAAATAAATAGAATGAATATTATGATTAACTAATATAGCAAATAGTAAAATGGGAAGAGTATTTAAAATAATTGAAATCATTCATCAAGAAAATAATCTCCATTTTGTACGTTTTTTCTAATTATGATCATATCCCAATCTGTGTGTTTTACTACCTTATAAGATCCATTCATTTTCCATTCGATATTTCCTTTATCGGAAGTGAATAAAAATGGGATAGAGTCAAAATCTGCTCCTTGACGTATTGCTTCTTTAAAGCAGTATAAGCGTCGATTATCTAAACTAAATAATTTATTATCAATTTCACAAACGGAAATTAGAGGTATATCTTCAGGAGTAGTTTTATTATTAACTAAATCGTTAATTAATTGTTCTAAGGAATTTTTATTTTTAAATTTGCTATCTATATAACGTTGTGAAAAATTTAATTTATATGGATTAATATAATATATGGAATTATTTTTTAAGGAATGAGGTTTTAGAAATAGATAAATTAAATATATAAAAAATATAAAAATTATAAAAAAAGGGTTTAACAATGATAAAAGAAAATATATAAAAAAATTATAAAGTATTTTTAAATTATCTTCATTTTCGTTCTATGTATGAATTTCATCGTTTGATTTGTTATGATTTTCATATGTTTCATTTTCATGAATTTCATTGTTTAATTCGTTATGATTTTCATATGTTTCATTTTCATGAATTTCATATGTTTCATTTTCGTTCCATGTGTGAATTTCATCATTCGATTCGTTATGATTTTCACATTCATTTTCGTTCCAATTATTATCTTCAAAAATATTTAAAACGTTATCCCAAGTGTAACTAATTGGGTTAGATTTTGAGCGAGGTTTTAAAAATTTTAGATTCCAAGTATCAAAATCTCATTTCAACTATTTCTATCCAAATTCAAAAACATTATCTATCTATCTAAATCTAAATTAAATTAATCTATCTTATCTAAAAAAATTATTTGTTTTCATTATATTTATTAATCAAAATACATTACATCATTTATTATTAATTTAACATGCAATGCAATGCATTATTTAAAGAGAACTTTTTTTTCATAATCAAATTTCTCAATTTCCTAAAATCTCTCTAAATAACTAAAAAATAAATCTAATCTCAAAATGAAAAATATTCTAAAATTTTTAAAACGTTCAAAATCTAACCCAATTAATTATACTTTGAAAAGAACAATAGAATTAAAAATTAATGATCTTTTTTTTTGTATTGTTTCGAAAAATTTAGATGATCAAAAAATATGATGTAATTAATTTTATATTGAGATGAACAAGATTATTCTTTGGAATTTAGATAGATAGATTAGATAAATTTATTTATATATAGTGATGATTTTTTAAAAAAAAATGTAAACAAAACATCTTTTTTTTTAAAAAATTATGTCATCATCAAATACACCAATTGCGCAAACTACTTATGAAAGAGATTTAGAAGAAAAGAATTTAAGATTAGAAACTCAATTATTAGATAAAGAAATTGAGATTCAAAATATTAAAGATAATTTTTGAATCAGATGTGATAGATTAAAAAAAAAGATTTCAACTTTTCGAGATCTTTTAGAAAAATCAGAACGAATTAATGAACAATATATTCAAATGATACAAAAAACAAAAAAAGAAAACACAATTTTATATTTTGTATTGTTTTTTATAATTTTATTATTTATTATTTACTTTATTGCATCGATGAATACACTTCTTATTATGGAAAATAGAATTTTAAATTTAGAAATGAGGTTTAGTCTTATAAATATCACTTCTTATTCTTCTATTCTTCCATTCACCACTTCTACTTCTCCTACTTTAATTTAAAATGTCTTTTTCAATTTTAAATGAACATTATGATGCTTTAGTAATAGAAGAATTCATAGTACGACAAAATGAAGTTGATGCTATTGAATTTCGAAAAAGCAAAGTTCAACAATATATAAAAAATGAAATCGAAAAGGAGAACAATAAATTAATATATGAACATTGTAAAATAATAAGTTCAATTAAAAATGAACTTGTATTATTTAAAATTTCTTTTTTTATTATTTTTTTTATTTTTTTATTAATAGTTTTTATATATTGTTCTTATATATTATTTAATTATAATTTTTCAAGTTTAGTTATAGATTCTTCAAAAAAATTAATTATAGAAAAAATCATTGATAGAGCAATGTTTCCTTCTAATTTTTATTTTTATTCCTAAGTAGCGAGGTCTAGTTTGTACCAAAAATCATCTAGAGACTTAGGATGTTTTTATTTTAATATTTTTTTTATTTATTATTTAATCTAAAACTTAGATTTTTATTTACTTTGTAAATAAATTATTTTTATAAATTTATGGGACTAAGTTATATGCCTAGACACAGGTCAGAGTAATTCGCCGATGTCGTTTAAAGCCATTCCAACATACATAAATTATTAAAATCAATTTATTTTCTTGTTCGTTATGTTTAAAAATTTGTGATAATTAAAATAGTTACATCAAAGATTATTATTCGAGAAGGTTCGCTTGGACTCCGGAGAGCAGGAGGAGAGTCTAAACTTTAATATTAATTTTTGATGTAACTATTTTAGTTATCACAAAATTTTTAAATATTTTAGAATTTTGATATTGTAATTATAATAAACTAAAATATTTTTTTTGAATTATATGTTTGTTTTAAATGATAATTATTTAATTATTTTAATTAATAAACGTTAAAAAAAACAAAAATGAAAGAATTTATTTATTTTTTTGTGTATTCATTATTTATAAATCGAGTTTTTACTATATATGCGAGTAGTAAGAATAATTATTGGCCGACTCATTATAATGAAGTTAATTTTAAATATCGATTCAATACGGAAGCAAAAATGGAGTTTAAAAATAATACTTTGATTGTGATGTATTGGGATCCAAATAATTTATTAGAATTGCTAGTTTGTGATTTTAATAAACGTAAACGGTTAGAAAATCAATATTCAGGATATTATTGTAATATTTATAAAAACGATTCTTTAAACGTTTATTGGTTATTTGATATGGATGATCACATAATTAGAAAAAGAAATTTTTAATTTATTTTTATGATTATTTATTTAAATAAATATTTTACGTTAATTTATTTATCATCAAATAAACACTTATCATAATGAATAAATGTTCAAATTGTAAAAAACAAAATGATAAAATTAATTTTACACGAAATAATATTGTATATAAAACTTGTAATAAATGTAGTTTTAAAAGAAGAGATCAAACACGAAAAAATTTAAAAGAAAAATGTTTAATTTGTAGACGAAAAATAACAAAAGAATATGAATATTGTGATTATTGTATATCCACAATCTAAGCAAAAAAAGAACCAAAAAAAATTGAAAATCAAATAAATGATTTTTTTCCAAAATTAATTGTTATATCAGGAGGTAGTGGAACCGGAAAAACGACTGTTGAAAGAATGTTATCGGTAAAAGATAATTATATTCGAATTATTTCTACGACTTCTCGTTTACCACGAGATGGAGAAGAAGACGGTAAAGATTATTTTTTTATAAAAGAAGAAAAGTTTAAAGAGAAATTATTAAATGGAGATTTTTTAGAATATACAACATATAATAAAAATTTTTATGGAATCGAACAAAGATCAATAGATAATATTTTAATTAAAGAAAAGAAAAATGGAATATTAATTGTTGATGTAGAAGGTATGAAACAGGTTAAAAAATATTGTAAAAGCAAAAATATTAAAATGGTTTCATATTGGTTTCAAACAAGTTTAAGTCAAATAATTAATTATATGAAAAAGCGTGGAACTAATAATGAAGAAATAATTGAACGTTTAATTAAATTTGACATTGAAAATAAATATAAAGATTTATATGATCATATTTTAGTAATTGAAGATAATGAATTAAATAAAGTTGTAGAAAAAATTCAATTTGATATTCCTGAATTAGTTAAAATTCAAGAATATATACCGATCGCACAAACTACTTACGAAAGAGATTTAGAACAAAAAAATCTTGAATTAGAAACTTTATTAATAGAAAAAGAAAATGAAATTCAAAAATTCAAAGAAAAAGAAATTGAAATCCAGAAAAAATATCAAGTAAAACGTAAATTTATAAATGATGATACTGAAATTAACAAAAAATTAAAAATTGATTATGTAATGAAATGGAAATAGAAATTTTAATTTATTTTTAATTATATATTATATATAGTTATTTTGAATGATTATTATATTTTAATTTTTAACAAAATAAAGTATTATTTGAAAATTAAAAGTTAAATCAAATATTGATTATTTTAATATGAGTTTTGAAGAAGATTTTGATTTTGAAGAAGAATTTAGTTTTGAAGAAGTTTTTAAATGTAATTATGAAGATTGTAATGGAGATGGTACTGATTATTATTGTTGTAAATTATGTTCATTTGATTATTATTATTGTAGTTTACATATGTTAAAAAATGATAAATGCAGTAATTGCGAAAAACTTAAAAATTTAATATGTAATTATAAAGATTGTGGTAGAGAAAGTATTAATTTTATATATTGTAAAATATGTTTAATTGATTATTATTACTGTAAAGAACATTTTGATATGTGTAAAGCATCAATTTGTTGTAATTGTGGTGGTATAAAAAAGAAAAAACGAGACAATGATTACAATTTTTATAATCATATTATAAAAAAGAGAAAACGAAACAATGAAGTAAATAATAAGAAACAGGTTGAAAAAGTAGTATGTAAATGTAGTTCATGTTGTGTTTTTACAAATGAAGGGAAGTTAGTAACGAAGAATACTTTTAAAATTCATAAAAAACGTGACGAAAAGTTAAATGGTGATTTAGAATTAAAAAGAGAGATAAAAAAATGTTTTGAAATTATTGAAGGATTATCTAGAAGAATTGTAGAGTTAGAAAGAAAATTTTTGACAGAAAGTGATATTGTTAAATTAGATTGATTTGTTTTTGATAGTTTTTATTTAAATGGTTATAGTTTAGGTTGTTTCTTTTTTTTAAAAAATGTATTTAATAAAAATTTTAATTTATCTTTGTTTATTTAATTTGGTGATTTCATATCGTACTAAAGGTGGTAATATTCAACGAAGACCTAAGGCTAAAGTTAAGTCATCACAAGATATTTATAATTTAATAAATGATAATATAAAATCTTATAATAATAGAAAAATTCAAAATGGATATGATGAAATGGATCATTATGAAACATCGTCTAATTATTTATCTAATGTTGAATTACATTTTTCTGGAATGAGTAAAGAAATAGGAAATTTAAGAAAAAGATTAAAAAATCCTAATATGAATACAAGAAGTAAAAATATGTTTAATCGATTAGTTAGTAGATATAATGAAAATATAATTGATTATAATCATAAATTAAAAATGTTTAAAAGAATGGAAGGTCATAGAACAAAACGTCAATTAAAAAATTTAGATAATGGATATGGAACTGTAAAACAACCTAAAAACTGATATAAAAAACGTTAATTAAAAATTTAGATAATGTAACCTAGAAATTGTTTAAGAAGTGATTATGATTAACTATGTTTTGATAATATTTTATAAATTATGATAAATAATTAATTTTTATTTATTAATTAAAATGGAAGAAGATAAATATAATATATTTAAAAATGATGTTAATAATCGATTGATACAAATTTTTAATGATATTAATATTAAAGAAGATTTTATAAATTATAGTATAGTAGCGAAATTTGATAAATTAAATTCAATTTTATTGACAAATAAAAGTGAAATTGATAATTTAAATAATAAGTTGAATTTATTAAATAATGAATTTGATAAATTTAATATTAATTCTCAATTAATTGAAGCTAATAAAAATGATGCATTGAATTTATTTCACAGTAAAGTTAATGATTTAGAATCTCAATTAATTAAAGTTAGTAATGAAAATATAAATTTTAAAAAATTATTTAAAGATAGTTTTATTAAATTACGAAATTTAAATAAATTATTTAATTAATTTGTTTTTGTTAATATATTTATATTTGTAATTTTTTTTTAATAGTTATTATTTTATTTTTCTAATGGAACAAAATATTCAACAACAATATATGGATGAATTTAATAATCTTGAAGAAAGTATTAAAAATAGAAAAAAAGTATTAGAAAATTTAAAACAAGAAGTTGAAGATTTAAAAGAGACTATTAAGAATAAAGACGAAGAAATAAAAGAAAAACAAGAAAGAATTGAAAATTTGGAAAATTTTATCAAAAATATTACAGATAATTTAAAAAAATTTTCTGATAATGGGGGAACTTGAAAATGATTTGTTAACTGAACTTCAACGTTTAAAAGAAAGAGTGAATAAAAGAACAAATGATGAAATATCAATTATTAAAGAATTAGAACGTAATTTAGATAATATTAATATTGAATATCCTTCTTTTGATTTTAAAAATTTTATGAATGATGTGAAAGATATTTTAATTTTATTTGAAGAGTTAAAATCTGGAAAAGATTTCGATATTAATATATTTCTTAATAAAATTTTATCTTTAATTTATTTTATTTCAAAAATTTTTAAAAATTATTTTTGTATTACAAGATGGATGATTGTTGTTAGTATTTTAGTTAATATTACTACGTGTACTTGTTTTCCTTTTTTGTTCTATTATTTTTTTTATAATAATTTAGCTTTATCATGTGTTGTTTATCAAGTTTCACAAGATTGAAAATGGCAATTTTTAATTTTTTTTTATTAATATATATAAATTATCGAGTTTGAATAAATAAAAAAAACCAATTATTAATTATCAAATTAAAATGAAATTTTATTTTGATTATTTTTCTTTTGATTTTGACTCTTTTAATTTACACTATTTTATAATTTTATTAATTATAATCTTATTTTTATCGATTTTTTTTATTAAAAAATATCTTTTAAACTCAGAAAATGAAAAAAATGAAATTATTTTTAAAGAATTTTCAGATGAAGATGATTCAGAAGAAGAATTGGAAGTTGAAGAATCGGAAGAAAAATGTGAAAAAATAGTTAAAGAAGATCAATTTCTTCAAATATTACAAAATTTACAAAAAATATCGTATGAAAAATCATTATTTGAAAAAAAAAATGATTATATTAGTGAAATTACTAAAGAAAATGATACTTGTAAAAAAGTTATATTAAATTTTATAAATGAAGTATATAATTTTCAAATAGTTATATATGAATATGAGAATTTTATTGATAAGTTGAATATTGGTTACGATAATGAAGTAGTTAAAATTCGAAATGAATATGATGAAAAAATAGAACAGTTAAATGAAAGATTGAAATTAAATGTAAAAAAAAATGATAATGAAGATCTTAATAATGTTCAAAATGAATACGAGGATCAAATTAATGAAAAAAATGAAAAAATTGAACAGTTTGAGAACGAGGTTAAAATTCATAGGTTGGAATTAGATGTTAAACAAAAAGAAATTTATAAATTGGAGAATCAGATTGATAAATTGAATATTGATCATAATGAAGAGGTAGTTAAAATTCGAAATGAAATTAGTGTTTTACAAAAAGAAAATAATGAAGAAATAAAACAATTAAAAGATCAAATTGATAAATTATTGGCAGGCGAACAAGATGATGCATTTTCTATTGGTAAGCTTGAAAAAGAAAGAGATGGTTTACAAAAAAAAATCGAAAATATTACTAAAGAAATAGTTTTAAGTTATGTATCTAAATTTGAAAATCAATCAAAAAAAGATTTTTATCTTTATTTTTATTATAATCATAATGGTTTTCCAATCAAATGTATGGGTTGTATAAAACATATTTGTTTATTTAATCACGGTGATTATTTTCATGTTAAAGATTGTGAAAAAGGTGGTAATTGTAAAGATAAAAAATGTTTAGATTCACATAAAAAGTGTAAATGGGGTGATAATTGTTATAATAATAATTGTAAGTATGTACACGAAGGAGATTTTAGGTGGATTTTTATTTAATTTTTGTTTTATTTTGGTTTGATTTAAATAAATATATTCATTCATAATTATTATTAAAATAAAAAACAATGAAACTTTCTATTTTATATGTTATAATTTTTTTAAGTGTTATTGTACAAATTTCATTAACATCATCATTACCAAAATTGTATACTTGTAAACGATTTGATCGTGATGGTAATTGTTGTAAATATGTTAAAATTTTGAATAAAAAATCTGGAGGTCAAACAAAATGGTTTAAAAAAGGAATTTTTTTAAAAGAAGGTAATGAATATAAATCAGTTCATAAGAAACCTACAATAAATAAAGGAAAAGGTTGTTGTAATAATATTATTAAAAAAAATAAACGAACTAAAAAAAGTAAACGTAATAATTGTGTTATTAAAAAAAAGAAAACGTGTAAAAGTTATTGTAATGAAACACCCGTTAAAAATGTTTTAATTGATAATTGGATTATAGATGATGAAGATTTAAATGATGAAATTAGAGACGAGATCAGAAATCTTGCAACTCAGTTAGGAAAAAAAGATAGAATTAGAAATGAGCTGTAATACAAATTTTATTTTTTTTTTAATGATATTTATAAATATTATTTGTTAATTAATAAAAAAAAATTAATGGCGGTTAAACGTAAATTTGAAGAATATCTCAATTCAATTGAAAAACGTCAAAAAAATAATGGTGATGTAAAATTTACAATAAAAAAAAATATTTATTTTGATGAAATAAAGTACGAAGAAGAAATGAAAAGATTTTTTAATCAATCACGATTTAAAGAAATATTAAAAGGAATGATAACAAATGGATCAATACTTCCTATTGAAATATTAATATATTTATTTAATTTTTTTGAAAATGATACATATACTTTATTCAAACTTTCATATGTATGTAAATTATGGAAAAATTTATTAGAAAATTGTGTCATTTGGAAAAGATTTTGTAAAAACATTAATAAATTTCCAAAACCAAAAGCGACAAAATATAAAACGTATCATTCAATAATTTGGAAATATCGAGATAAAGTATGTTGATTATGTAAAATCAATTTTAGAATTAATTATAATAAACATGAAAATTATAAGTCGATGTTTGAATCTAAAAATCATTTTTGTTGTGAAAATAGTTTAAAATTTATAGACAAATTTATTGATCATAATAATATTTGTAATGAATGTTGTAAATTATTATATAATTTTTATATTTCTAATTTTTATAATTTACATTATGAAAATTTATGTAAAAATTATAATAATATTCATTACTATACAGTTTTAGAGAATGGTAGAATTGATTCTGTCAGAAGTAGTTTTATAGATTTTCTTGATAAAGATGTGGAGATATGTTTAGATCATAGTTTATTAAATAGGAAATTTGTGTAATATTTTTTTGTTTGTTTAATAAAATATATTTTGATATTCTTAGGAAATAAATTTTATTTTTTATAAAATATTTATTTTTTTTTTTTTAGTTATTTTTATAAATAGATTTAAAGAAAATCATAAAAAAAAAATAAAAATGGATATTGAAGATTTAGAATATATTAATATAAATTTATGTCAAAGTATTTTAATAAGACGTAAAAGAATTAAAGAATATCTTGATAAAATTTATTTTGAAGAATTAGAAATTCAAAAAGAAATCATGAAAAAAATAAAAATGATGAACAAATACAATATATAAAAAATAAACTATGGGAAGAAACAACTCAAATGTCTTAGGATACTGAATTAGGTATCACAAAACGTAAACAATTAAAAAATGAATTACAAGAAATAATTAAAGAAGAAAAAAATGATTTAATTGATGAAAAGAAAAATATTGATATGAATAAAGTTCAATATTTGCGTGATGCTTGATATAATATTATTAATAGTTTACAAATTGAAATTGATAAATTACAAATGCGAGAAAATGAAATTTATAATCGTATAAATAAAATATATGAAGGAATTTATAGATGATGAATTAAGATATATTTAGATTATTTTGATACACAAAAGTAATTTAATAATAAGTATGTGTTACTATATTTTTTTTTTTGGGAAATTTGTGTAATATTTTTAATATTTTTTTTAAAATTTATATAAAATTATTTTGATAACTGTTTATAATAATGACAACAAAAATGGATTTTTGTTATAAATGTAATAACCAAATTATTAATTTTTCAAGTCTATTTTATGAAGAATTAAATAAAAAGATATGCTTACAGTGTAAGATTCAATCATATAAAAATTACGAAATTATTTTACCAACTATCACAAAGAATTTTAATGAGAACGCAGAAGTGTTACGAATTGAATGTATATTTACATTTAAAAATGGATATGATAAATCAATAAATACAAAATTTATTGTATATATTTTAAAACCGTTTTTAAAAGTATTTTATAATGGAATTTATTCTAGTAATTTTGAAATTACTTTTGACGATTATAAATAAATTCTTAAAGAAATTACAGAATATTTTTATGGTAATCAAAAAATTGTTTATAAAGATTATATTCAATTTAAAAAGAATTTAAATAGAAAATTTTTATATTTTAAGAAACCAGAATTAATTTTTATTGAATCTGTTTGTATGAAGACTATTCAACATGATAAATATAAATTAGTTATAAATGATAATCTTTTTAAATGTATTTCTTTATTTAGTAAAAATTAGTGTTTTTTTTTATTTAATTTTTATTAAATCTATTTAAAAACCAATCATGTGTTGTGTAAAATAAATCAAATGTCTTTATTTCATGAATTAAAAACATTATGTTTATGTGAACAATGTAAACGAAATAATAAATGAAAAAATGAATTTGATGATAAAAAACAATTATTCACGAACAATTTTAAAAAAAGAAAAAATGAATTCGATGTAAATAAAAAACAACTAAAATGAAAAAATGAATTCGATGTAAAAAAAAACAACTATTCACGAATAATTTAAAAAGAAAAAATGAATTTAACAATGATAATAATATTAAAATTAAAAAGAAATGTTTATGTAATTCTTTATATTCTTTACAACGAAAAAATTTGTTGAAAGAAAAAATTAAGTATGAAGGTGATTTATATTTTAGACCTTTAACTGTTAAAGATACTAATGTAAATGGTCGATATTTTTTAGAGATTGTAGGGATATTAGAAAATTCAGATAAAATAAAAATAGTTCTTCATGATATAGATGTATTTTTTGATGTTGAAATTAATAATAAAGATGAATTACAAGATATTTTATCGTTGTTATATGTTGAAAAACATAAAGAATTTAAAAAAATTGAAGGTCATTCAATTAGAGGATATTCTAAGAAGAAGAAATTTTTAAGAATATTTTTTAATAATTTATATGATAGAAAAATATTATTAAATAAATTAGATGATTATAATACATACTCAAATGATTTATACAATTATTATAGAAAAGTTGCGAGAGAGTATAAATTATATTTAACAAGTTGGAATATTATAAGAAATTATAATATAATTAATGATGAATTTCATTTATCAATTAACGATTTTAAATATTCAGAAAATCAATTAATTGGTGGTAAATATCTAATACTAGCTTGGGATATAGAAACATGGAGTGGACGTGGTTTGGGTGGTCTCCCATTAGGAAAATATAAAGAAGATGAAGTTTCTTAATCAGTATTGGATTATTTTAGGAAGGTTCAATTGAACCTTTTAAAAAAATATCCATTACTATTCAAGATAATGATCTTGAAGAAGATTGGTTAGTTTATGTTGTTAAAGATCAAAAGCAATTGATATTAACTTTTGGAGAAATTATTGATAGTATTCAACCGGATTTTGAAATAGGTTTTAATCATTTTCATTATGATTGGCCTTTTTTGATTGAAAAAATGGAAGAATATAAAATTTTTGTTAAATTTAATGAAATTTTGACAGAAATTATTGCTGAAATTGATAAAATTAAAAAATTTAGTATTGTAAATAATAAAAATCAAAATCAAAATAATAGTTATTCAGGTATCAAGATTAATGCTAATGAATATATAGATTATGAATATTTTAAAATTTTGGGATGTATTTCATTAGATATGAGAGTAGCTTTGAAAAAAATGATGTCACCAAAAAAACTAGAACAAAGTTCATTACGATTTTTTCTTGAAAAATATCATTTAACTGAAAAAATTGATTTAGAACATCATGTTTTATGGAAATATTATAGTGATTCAAAAAATGAAATTACTAATGAAAAAGAATCATTAGAAAATATGAAAATAATTTTAGAATATTGTGTTAATGACGCGTTAAGTTGTCAACGATTGTTAGTGAAAAATGATTTAATTAATAATTACAAAGAAATATCTGATGTTGCTTATGTATCATTACAAGATTCGTATATGTATGCTATTAACATGAAGGTTCAGAATTTACTATGTGCATATGCATTTGATTCAAATATTTTAGTTAGCTCAATTAAAAAAGGTAAAGAAGAGGAGGAGAAATTTCCAAGAGCTGTTGTATTTTGGCCGATTAAAGGATTAAATAATAAGAGACCAATAACTGGATTAGATTTTGCTTCATTGTATCCAAATCTTATTATAACTTATAATTTATCACCAGAAAAAATAATTTTAGATAAAAAAACAGCTGATGAATTATTAGGAGAAAGTAAATTACACGAAATTAAATTTAATTTTAATGGTCGATTAATAGAAGCATGGTCAATTGATCATGAAAATAATCCAGAGAAAATGGGATTATACCCTAAAATATTAAAAGATTTAATAGAAAAACGTAATGAATTAAAAAAAGTGTTAAAAAAATTAAAGAAGAAGAAAGAAGAATTGGAAAAATTTAATCAATTAGATGAAGAATATAAAAAAATATGTTTTGAATTAGCTAGTGTTGATATGAAACAATTAGCGATGAAAATTTATGCTAATTCATTTTATGGGTCAGCAGGATATAGTAAATCTCCAATATTTTTACGTGAATTAGCTGGAGCTGTAACTTCATTTGGTCAATATAATATTAAATTAGTAAAGAGTTATTTAGAAGAAAATGGATATCAAGTTGTTTATGGAGATATAGATTCAGTGTATGTTCAACTTCCTGATAAAATTTACAAGGAGATTGATTTAACATTTCAAATACGAAGTTTAATTTTTCAAAAAATTAAAAATGAAAAACTTAAAAAAAAATATAGGTTTATTGTGAAAGAAAATTATTGGTCAGAAATGATAGAATTAACAATGAAAGAAATGGATAAGGTGAAAATTAATGTAAATGAAATGTTATATAAAGATAATGGGTATCAATATTTACAAATGGCGTATGAAGAAGTATTATTTCCATATTTTTCATTGGGTAAAAAGAAATATTGTGGGACTCCACATGAAAATATAGTTAATTTTAATGCTAAAGCTTTTGTAAGAGGAATTGATCAAAAAAAACAACATGTTTCGTTACTTTTAAAAAATATAGGAGAAGAAATCATGGACACATGTTTAAGTGTTTATAATGAAGATGAACCAATTGATGTAGTTAAAAAAATATTAATATCAAAAATTCAAAATTATAAAAACATTGATAAAAAGAATTTTTTGTTATCAGCTGCATGGAAGAAAGATGTTAATAACGTAACAGTTAAAAAATTTATTGAACGATTACAAGAACGAGGAGATGGTGATAAAATTGTACCTGGTGAAAGATTTAAATATGTAATAGTTATAACTGATGAAGAACGAAATACGACTCGTAAGAACTTTTGTGATAAAATCAGTAATAAAATGGAATTATTGGATTATGTTATTGAAAATAATTTAGAAATAGATATTGTTTATTATTTAGACAGTGTTGTTAATATTTGTGCGAGATATATTAGTTATTATGAACAATTTCAACCAGATGAAAATCATGATATTTGGAATATTGAAGACGAAGATGAAAAAATGTCAAAAATTGATGAATTTTCACAGAAAAACGCGGAAAAATTTATTAAATCATTTATTAAAGATAATTATAATAGTTATTATAATATTATTATAAAAGAAAAAGTTACAAAAAAGAAAAGTAAAAGTAAAAAAACTAAAATTAACAATAGTCAAATAGATGAATTCTTTTTTGGTGTAAAAAAATGTTCAATTTGTGGAAAAACAGGTCATAATAAGAGATTTCATTTAGGTTATTAGTTTTTAATTCTTCTTTTTTCTTTGTATCTATTTAAGATGATTTCATTATCTCTACTATTATAATATTTAACATAGTTTGTATTATCAAAAGGACAAGCTACATAACTTTTATCTTTATTAAATGATAATTTTCTATGAGAAAGTTTAAAAATATTTCCTTTATATCTTTTTTTATATCCATCCATTCATGATTTTTCATCGTATTTCTCTTCAAATTTTACTTTTAAATAATTATTCATTTTAATAAATTCAAAATTTTTAAATTCATCGTTATCTCGTAAAAATTTTGTTGTTGTTTGTAAATAATATAATAAAAAACTTTTATAATAATTATCTTTTGAATTAAAATAAATATATTGAATTTCTTTAATTGTTTTATGAGGATTATTAATAGTTTTTATATAATTAAAATTACGATAAAAAAAAGAACATAAAAGTAATTTATAATAATCATTATAATCTAATAAATAAATGATCATATAGATTAATTCAGGTGGTAATTGTAATAATTTAGACATTTTAAAAAGTGTTAATTTTATACTTCATTAAAAGTATTAAACGAAATTTGAGAATTATTTTTATGAGTAGCATTAAAATCTATTTTATAAATGAATTCTTGACCAATCATTTTTATAACAAATTAAAATTTTTATAAAATTCTAATGATTATGTTTTTTTTTAGTAAAATATTTTTAATATTTTTTTTAAATTTTGTATTTAAATAATTAATATATTTGAACGAAATGAAATAAAAAAAAACAAAAAAAATATGAATCAAACTCAAGAATACTGTTTTGGTTGTAACCAAATACTTCTTGATTATTTTACTTATTTTAATGAAATAAAATATTGTTCTAATAAATGTGCTTTAGATCTCCTTCAACGAAATTTTTTACTTTTACAAGAAAAATTTTTTGCATTATTAAATTTTCAAAATTCTCAAAATCAATTAAATGACGAAATAATTAAATACGAATTCGATGAACCTGGATTAGAACTAAAATATCAAACATTTTTAGCTTCAGGTGCTGATTTAAGGTCAAAAAATAAATATGTAATACCTGGAAAAAATAAAAGTGTTGTTACTATTGATACTGGAGTTGTTATTAAACATATACACCCTAATTATGGCTTACAAATTCGTTCACGAAGCTCTAGTTTAATTAAAATGTTATTATATGTTAATTTTGGAACAGTGGATTCAGATTATGGTTTATTACATAATAATTCTGGTAGAATATTTGTTAATGTGTGGAATTTATCTCCAAAAAGCATTACAATTAATCCACGTGATCGTATTGCTCAAATTGTAATTGAAAAAATAACCAGAGGAGGATTTCCAATTGAAGAAAATAAAAGATCCGAAATGGAAGGAACTGGTATTAAAATTATTAATGAGACTAATGTAGTAGTAAAAGAAAAAAAGAAAAAACCAAAAATTAAAAAAATTAATTGTAATAGTTGTTCAAAATTTTTATATAGTCGATCATTTACTTCACTTTTGGATGATTTGGGTGATATAAATCAAATTTGTGATGATTGTCTTTCTGGAAATGAAATTAAGCTAAAAGAAATCGAAAATATGAAGAGAAAACGTGAAGATGATGAAGACGATGATGAAATTAAAATAGATATAAAGAGAAAGCGTAGTGTTGAAAATAATGTTGAAAATAGTGTTGAAAATAGTGTTGAAAATAGTATTGAAAATAATGTTGAAAATAATAATATTGAAAAAAATAATGTTGAAAATAATGTTAATGTTAACAGAATAGAAGTTGATTATGAAGATTTTTAAAATATTTATTTTTTTTTTATATTTTGTTATATATACATGAAATAAATGGATGTAAAATTAATTAATTAATAAATAAAAATGTCGTATACAAAAATAATTGAATATTCGAGTGTTATTTTAAAAACCTGTGATAATAAATATTGGGTTAATGAACGTTCTTCCGTATCTTAGACCAATGAAAAAAATGAAATTAAGATAGAATGTTCTGGTGGTAAATTGAAAAGATCTGAAACATCGCGTGAATGTGCGATACGAGAAACTAAAGAAGAAACAGATGTTAATGTTGATAAAGATAAATTGAGATATTTATGAACAAATAATTATCAATATGATAATGAAAATGAAGGTGTATTACATATTGTTCATGTTTTTGAATATAAAACCGATGTAAAACCTAAAAATTTAGATGGTAAAAATTGGAAATTAATTAACGAAGACGAATTAAATGATTATAAATCTAAAAATATGGTTATTGATTCTTTAAGAGATACAAGTCCAGTTCAAAAAGAAACTTCTAAATATATTATTGATGGAAATATTGGAGCTGGAAAATCGTATTTGATCGAAGCTTTGGTAAAATATAATAAAAAAAAAGGAATAAAAGTTAATGTTATTCCTGAACAAGCGATATCAAAAACTGTTAAACCATTATTAGAAGAATATTATTGGTATCTATATTATTGGAATAAATCTTATAAATTTCTTTTTAGTAAGAAATTGAGACAATCTGCAATCAAACTTCAAACAAAAATTTGGTTAGAATATCAAAAAGAATATATTAATTTTGTTAAACGAGAAGAAAAACCTGATATTTTATTGATAGATAGATCTACTCAATCAACTATTATTTTTATGGATATGATGGTTGATGAGGGTATCATTTCAAGTGATGATCAATTTGAAATAATTAAAAATTATCCAGAATCTGTTGAATTTTTCACGAATGATTGTAAAGTAATTCTTTGGAATCCATCTCAGAAAAAAATTTTACAAAGACAAGAAAAAAGGGGTAGATCGATGGAAAAGGGATTGGAAGATTATATTAAAAATCTTGGCGCCAAGTATTTTGAAAAAATGTCATATTACTATAAAAGTTATAAAATGATTAGTCATAATGCAAATCTTGATTTTGATGTAGATAATATCCCTAAAACTGTAATCAAGGAGATAAATTTGTACAACACATACGAAGTTAAAATTTGATAAACAAACAAATATGTAACCTTATTTTTTAATATGATTAGTTCAATTTTTATTTATTATATTTAAAATTTCTATATTTAGTTTCATTACTTTCTTTTTTTTATTTATTTTAACAATTCGTAAATAAATATGTAACCTTATTTCTGATTATAAATAATTAATGTAACAGTCATTTATTTTGATTGGTGTATTCAATACGTTATTGAACAACTTAAATTAGAAGAAAACTGTCATTTAAATAAAAAATTATTAAAAATTTCTACATTTGGTTAAATTATTTTATAATAAAAAAAAGCTTAAATACACCAGTTTTCTTTTTTTTCTTCAACACTTTTCGATTTTTTTTTACAAATTTTTAATTAAAAATGACTAAATGAAATAACAATAACACCAAAAGTTTAAGAACAAAAATCAAAAAAAGTAATAGAAACCAAATTTATAAAATTAAAAAAAACAATGATAATAAATATGACCCAATTAATAATTTTACAATTAAACCAGTTGATTTTCAAAATCCTGGGCTCGTAGTTACGAATGAGTTAGTTGATGTTTTATATCCTAACTATATCAGTGATGTTCTAAATCTTGATGAAGTTAATTTTTTAATTCAAAATCCTAGTGATGATTTATATCCTAGTGATGTTAATTTTTTAATTCAAAATCCTAGTAATGATTTAAATCCTAGTGATGTTAATTTTTTAATTCAAAATCCTAGTGATGATTTAAATCCTAGTGATGTTAATTTTTTATTTCAAAATCCTAGTGATGATTTAAATCCTAAAGATGTTAATTTTTTAATTCAAAATTTTAGTGATGATTTATATATAAAAAAAAACGATGAAATTTCAAAATTAGAAGAAGATCTAAAAACAAAAGACGATGAAATTGAAGAATTTAAAAAAAGAATTTCAAAATTAGAAGAAGATTTAAAAACAAAAGACGATGAAATCGAAGAATCTAAAAAAAGAATTTTAATATTAGAAGAAGAAAACTTCGAATTTAAGAATAAATCGAAAGTAGAAATTGGAATTCAAACCGATGAATATGAAGAAAATAACGAAAATGAAGAAGTCGATTTGAATGATGATTTATTTAATAATTTTGATGAACTTTTTGGAAAATATTTTAATTCAAAATATAATTATTCACTTAAAACAGATATTCAAAAGAAAATATATTAAATGAACTTTTAAATAAGATAGATTTATCACCCGTTAATGGGTATAAATTAAGAAATAAAATTTTAAAACAAGATGAATCTAATAAGTTAATAGATAAATATATAATATTTCATTTTTGTAAAAATTTTTTAACAGAAGAGTTAAAACTTGTAAACAGTGTTATTAGTAACATTGATATTAGACAAGCGGTTCAAGCCTAAAAGAACATACAAAATAGGATCAAAAAGATGGAAGAAATAGGTTTAATTCAATCTGGATACGAAATATTTTATAAAGGTGGTCCTGCAAATATTAAATATCACCTTAAATTACCAAACGAAAGCCCTCCTAAAGGGTTTATTGCAAAAAGAACATATAGAATAAAAAATCCAAAATTATTGTTTAGTTCATCTAAAGATTTTGATGGAAGAAAGAAAAAACTTCGATTTAATCCTTATTAATATAACCATTTTTATAAATTTTTAATATTTTTTTATTTATTATTTAATAAAGTCTATATAATTATCAATTTCTGTTATTTAACATTCAACAAAAAATTGAATAAAATGTCAAAAATTAATATTAGAAAAATTATTAAAAATAATAACAAAACGAATCCTGATGAAATTGATAAAAATATTAAAAAAATTAATCCCGATGAAATTGATATGAATCTTGACGATGAAATTGAAATTAAAACTAATGTAAGCGTTGTAATATAAGTCTTGTATGCTATCATCTATTTGGTGGTGATTACTAACGCTTATGAGGGGAATTAAATTTATTTTATTTAGGTTAAAGATAATGAGCATTATAATCCCAAGAAGAATAATAAAAGAAAAATTGAAATTGAAATTGAAAATGACAATGAACTAGAAAATGAACTAGAACTTGAACATAAAAATAAAAAAGTAAAAAATAACGGGAAAACTGTGGTATTTTCCCTCACTCCTAAAAATGAAATATTAAATGAAATTATTGAGTTTGAAAATGAATATTTTAATAAAAATCATGATAAATATATTAAAAAATTGGATCTAGATGAGTTGTTTAATATAATAGAAGAGTCAATTAAATTATTAGTCAAATCTGGTTTATTGTGTGGATATACAAAAGAAAGTAAATTTTTAGTTGGTGAAAAAAATAGGCTTAAAAAAGTTAAAAAATTACCAAATCCAAATAATTCATCAAAGTTTTATTGTATTAAAAATTATTCAGATGGATGTGAATGTGATTTTAATAATTTTGATGAATATGATAAATTAAAATGTAACAAATGTGATAGAAAAAGAAGAAAAGATTTATTTTACTCGAGATATTCACAATTTTATAATTGGTAGGGTAATAGAAAAGATATTTATTTATTATTTAAAGCTATGTTTAACGTATTGAGATTATATCGAAGAATAGCAGAAGAGTTTAAAGATTTTAATTCAGTTAAAAATATTGATGAACTCAATCAAGTAGTTGATGATTTTTTCGATAGTTCTGATGAAGAATAAAATAGTTAATTTTTTTTTTTTAATATATTTATAAATAAATTTATTTAATAATAAAAATAATATTTTTAGCGTGATGTTTTTTTAGAGTCAGTATCGACCGAAGGGAGATACGTGAATACCATTAAACCTGTTAATTCTCCTCAATCAGTATCGACCGAAGGAAGATACGTGATATGTAGTACTAAATAAAGATGATATTTCTTTTCCTTTAATTAATTTTTATTTCAAGTGTTTTATAATAAATATAATAAATAAATGTCTCAACAAAGATTTAAACTTTGTAATAATGAAAGATTTGTAATAGAAATTTTTAATAATTTTTATTATTTTTTTTATAAATTATATTAAATAACACTTGAAATAATAAATTTATTTTTTAAAAAAAATGTCTCCATCAAGATCTAAAAAATATTTATCATTATTAAGATCTAATCCTTATAATTTACGAGCAAGATTAAATGAAAGGAAATAAATATTTATTATTTTTAAATAAAAGAGAACATTTAAAAACTTAATTTATTAATTTAGATAGGTAAATACATTTATATTTATTATTTATAATTAACAATAAAAAATGATTGATATTCTTTAAGTTTATTCTTTATTTATTATAATTATTCTTTAACATAAAATGTGAAAAGTTTTTTTACATGTTTATGGCTAATGTAAATAAATGGAAATATATAATCTTGAAAAAGAATTACATTACATCTTATAAGATTTATCTAAAATACAAGAATATAATGCAAAATTGTGAAGCAAATACATGAGACTTAATAATGAGGTCAGGCAGTTGAAAGTTGAAAATTTTAAAATTTTTTTCTTAATATATTTATATGGTAATATCTTTTACTAAATATAAGATTGAATATCAAATAAAATCAAAGGAAATAAAATTATTTCAATTTGTAATTGATTTATTGATTATAGAATATTTTAATAAGAATAATCACTTAGATTCACATAAAAAAATTTGATAGCAAAAAAAATGATAAATTAGAGAACTCTAGCACTTTATTAGTAGCTTCTTAGATATTAATTCAGAGATAAAGAAGGAAAATTTGAAACCTGTTCTTTTAGAATTAATCTTACTTGTTACTTTGATAAACGAGAATTTATTAAGTGATTCAAAAGGAGCAATAAAACTATTAAATATTTCTATTATTATAGACAAATTATTATCATCAGTATTTGCCTTTTAATAATACAAACCCTTGCTAAAAGTCTTTAGATACCATCTTTTAAGAGTTATTTTATACTGATTATATTATGTGATTATATAAAATTACAGTTATATAATATTTCAGTTATTGATTACTTGAAACAAATTAAATAAATATGTATTAGTTTGTTTATTTTAATTTTAATCAAAATAAAATTTTATTCTTCAAAAATAATGAAAATATCTAAAGAATTAATAATAGAATAATGCAGTGGTATAATTTTTGCTATCAACGTGATGATAGTTATTAAACTATTATGTTATAGAAAGTTAACAGTTCTTAATACTAGTGTTTCACACAGATTCAGATTGATCTAAATCCAATCTGAATCTGATGGATCGGATTCAGATCAGATTTGTCAGATTCAGATCTAATTCAGATTCAGATTCAGATCGAATCAGATCCATAAGATTCAGATTCAGATCTAATCTATCAGATTTAGATTCAGATTCGGATCTGATCTGTCAGATCTGAATTTAACTTTTTTAAAGCTGAAAAGTTCCTTTTCAATGAAAAAAGATGAATTTTCAGACTTCTTTAAAGCTGAATATTTGTTTCCTTTCATTGAAAAGGAACGAATTTTCAGATCTTTTTTAGAACTGAAAAGTTTCTTTCATTGAAAAAGAACTAATTTTCAGATCTCTTTTAGAGCTGAAAAGTTCCTTTCATTGAAAAGGAACTAATTTTTGAATCTCTTTTAAAGCCAAAAAGTTCCTTTCATTGAAAGGAAACAAATTTTCAAACACTTTTAGATCTAAAAATTTGTTTCTTTTATTGAAAAAGAACGAATTTTCAGAATTTTTTTAGAGCTGAAAAGTTCTTTTCATTGAAAAGAAATTTATTTTTGGATCTCTTTTAGAACTGAAAAGTTCCTTTCATTGAAAAGAAACAAATTTTCAGACTCTTTAGAACTGAAAAGTTCCTTTCATTGAAAATAAATGAATTTTCAGACTCTTTAAAATTGAAAAGTTCCTTTTATTGAAAAAGAATGAATTTTTAGACCTTTTTTAGAGCCAAAAAGTTCCTTTAATTGAAAAAGAATGACTTTTCAGAACTCTTTTAAAGCCAAAAAGGTTCTTTTCAATGAAAAGGAATGACTTTTTGGAACTCTTTTAGAGCTAAAAAGATTCCTTTCATTGAAAAAAAACATTTTTGGATTTCATTTAGAACTGAAATTTCATTTTTTCAATAAAGCTTTCAGATTCAGATCAGATCAGATTTAGATTTAAACTGATTCGTCAGATCCAGATTTAAGATTTGATCTATCAGATTCAGATCAGATCTAGATTTCAACAGATCTGTCAGATTCAGATTGGATTCAGATCCTGAAAATGAAAATCAGATCAGATCAGATTTGGATAAAATCTGATCTGATCTGATTTGCGAAATACTACTTAATACTTTAAAAAGAATAGATAACATCAAAATTGTTAATTTAAAGTTTCATTTTAGTCGATCACCTTTAATTAAAGATTCAAGTTAAAGCTAGCTTAAGCAAATTATCACTAATGATAAAGAAAAAATTATCACTACAAAAGTATAACAACTCTGATAAAGAAAGGTCAACCAATATGTTTTAACTTGTAATATTGGTTAAATATTTTATGCAACTGGATTAAACAATTGTTTTGCTTAATAAAAATCTTTAATTATATTAGCAAATATATAAGTATATCTTGTATAGTATTTGAAATACTAAAATTAGATAAAAGATGATTAATCAAGGGTCATGTGAAGTAATAAATCTACCTTTTCACAATTCTAATAAAGCTATTGTAATCAAATTTGACATAAATCTCATAAAAAATAAATAGTGAAACATAGCATTAGCTAAATATTTTGTGAGTATTTTTTGAGATAAAACTTAAGACTAATTGTTTCATTATCTAAAATAGTTACTAGTATTACACTTATCATTATTCTTTACAAGTGTATCATGTTAATTATGAAACACATATTTTCAAACTGTGATGATATATTTTAAAAAGATAATGCTCACTCTCATAAAATAAAATTTGCAAAGAAATTTTATGCAGAAAATAGTTTATGTATACTTTTATAGTCTGCTCAAAATTCAGATCTCAATCTTATTAGGAATTTATAAGCTAAAATCAAGAAAAGTATTCGTAAAAGAAATAAATTACCTTTCAATCTTGTTCAATTTAATTGATATATTATAAAGGCATGAAAACAAATTCTGATACAAACTATAAAAAATTTGATTAATAGTATACTGTAGCAAATTTAAGCTGTGATTAAAATAAATAAAGATCTGACTAAGTACTAATAATTTAGT